TGGGAGCTAAAAAATAAACAAATTAATTCACCCACAAACACACACAAAAAAAACCGGGGGGGGGAGAAGATATAACAACTATACCTTTTTGAAGTTGTTACAACAAGCAAACGGAAAGGACATTCTTGGGGGGGAGGGGAGAGAGGGAGGAGGGAAGGAGGTGTCGGTGATGGGCCATAATAACCATATACATTGTATATTGACAAAATAAAAATTTAATGAAAAAAAAAAGAATAAAAACTGCATACAGTAAAAAAATAAAAAAATAAAAATAAAAATAAAAACATAATTCATATTTGTCAAACATGCATGAAGTATGTATAAATGCTGAAAATATAATAGATCACAAAGTCTTGATAAATTCTTATTTTTAATATTATTTTTTAAAGTTTTATTTTGAAAACATTAAAAAATTATTTTATCATTACACAATATAATCATTTTTTTGTGGCCTTTTACCAATTTTTCCCTAACCCTCTTCTCAGTACCTCTTTCCCACCTCTGGTGACCTCAGTTCCATTCTATCCTTTTGAAAGCTCAATGAATTATTGATTGTTGTATCTTTCTTTTTTTTATTTGTTTTTTTTTTTTTCAACTTCCACTTATGAGTGAGGACGTGCAGTATTTCTTTTTCTGTATCTGGCTTATTTCACTTAATATAATTTTCTCTAAGTTCACCCATGTTTCTAAAATGGCAGAATATCTTTCCTTTTCATGGCACTGTAGTATTCCATTTTGTATATAGACCATATTTTCCCTACCCATTCCTCCATCGATGGACTTTTAGGTTGGTACAATTCTTAGATATTTTAAATAGAGCTGCAGTAAACATGGGAGTACAGATATGCCTTCAAACATGATGATGTCCATTCCTTTGGGTATACACCCAGCAGCAGGATTGCTGGATTGCACAGCTGTTCTATCTGTAGTTGTTTGAGGGAACTCCATACTGTTTTCCATAACAGCTGTACTCATTTACAGTCCCACCAATGATGTAAGAGGGTTCCCCTTTCTCTGCATGCTTGCCAGCATTTATTAATCTGTCTTTTTCATAATGGCCAGTTAACTGGAGTGAGATGATATCTCAATGTAGTTTTGATTTGCATTTTCCTGATGCTAAGTGATGTTGAACAATTTTTTATGTGTCTGTTGGCCATTTGTATATATTCCTTTGAAAAATGCCTATTCAGTTCCTTTGCCTATTTTTAAATCAGGTTATTTGTTTTTATACTGTTAACTTTTTTCAGTTACTTGTATATTCTTGGATATTAATCCCTTGTCAGATGCATAGTTTGCGACTATGCATATATATTTTCTCACATTCTATAGTTTGTCTTTTTGCTCTGTTAAATGTTTCTTTTGCTGTGCAGAAGCTTTTTAGTTTGATATAATCCCATTTATTTTGTCATTTGTTCTCTGCGGCTTTGGGTTTTTATTCATAAATCTTTGTTTCTGATCCTACTTCCTGAAGTGTTTCCCCTATGTTTTCTTCTAGGAATGTTACAGTTTGGGGACTCATATACCAGTCTTTAACCATTT